TCTGTTAGTCTAGGGACTTTAAAATTTAGAGAACGGCAACCCTGCTATAGACCATGTATTATTATTTCAACGCGTGAGCATTAACTAAGACATATGAAGATGAACTTCAAACATTCTTCGCATATGAATTAACTCCTTACCCATTATCACTCTTTGATGCAGTGGGAATGCGTAAAACTATGAGGTCAGTTCTTCATAATTGGTTTGAATGTTTAAACTTCGAAATTGATAACACAAATACTATCTACTACATCATCTTCTTCTTGCAATGTATGGTGCTCCAAAAAAAATTGATTCCATAGACAAATATAGATATATTATGAGTTTTGTAAAATCTGCATGGAACAATAAAACATTACAGTTATATTTTCTGCCTCCAACATCTGCTTCTGACTTTCAACACTTGTAACCTGTGTATTATCAACTTCAAGTGTGGCTACTTCTCGACCCAGAAGGATGGGGTTGGAAATTAACAGATAATTATTTGGAGCCAATTCAAACTCTACTCCCGCCTGCTCCAGAAAAACTGCTTAATACTATTTTTTGTAAATGCAAGACGGATGGTAGTAAGAATTGTGGCTGTCAAAAAGTGGGATTATTTTGTTCGTCAGTATGCATCAATTGTCAAGGTGAGACTTGCTCCAATATTAAAACAAATACAACAGATGAAAATATTTATGATATTAATGAAGAGACAATTGCTGCATCCCTTTTCTTAGAACAGTGAACAGAAATTCTGCAAGAAGAAAATAAATAAAATAATTGTCGAAATAGAATTAGACAATTATCTAATATAATAAAATATTGAAGAAAACAACCTATTCCACTTTGATCATTAGCAATATTGGTAATATTCTTTCAACCAATAGGATACGATCTGATCAAACTTTCTTTATTACAATAGATCGTGGAGTATACCTACTGCAGAAACCACGTTAAAAAAATGCGCCAAGTCACAGCCTCCTTTACTCTAAGAAGGCTGTGGCCAAGTACATTACCTCATAGGTGGTGCGGAAATGTGTGCATATTATGTAAAATATGAATTTCCTAATTATTAAAAACCGCGATATCTCACGAACGGTGCGTCGTAAGAGAAAAAGTAACTGGATCGTTTTTGTAGAAAATTGTATGATCTACAACTTTTGTCTGACCTATTTTCACGATAATACTTACAGTTTTCGAGAAAAATGGAAAATACCTTAATTTTGTACGTTTGACCTTGAATACATTTTTTTTGCAGAAGTAGAATGGAAGGGGATTTTTGACATTTTATTTATGATGATGATGATGTATTTAACGTCTCCGCCAATTTTCAGCTCTATGCGAATTTTGGCTAAGTCAAATGTCTATTTTGACTGGACTAAATGCAGATGGAAAAGAATGCTGGCGTACCACTATCATTTCTTCTGAAACAACTTGTATTATTAAAAACTGATGACAACTGTAAAATAAGTGTCATTTAAAACGTCTATTTACCGATCTTTATCAAGATAAAAATGTATATGAAAAACCATCATGCTTATCTAATAGCGTCATCTGTTGTTAAAAAGTAAAATTACATAGAACTCCTGTGTCGAATAGCAACATTATTTTAAATTCTCACAAATCGTATCTACTCAACTTCTATGTTGTCCTAGTATTAATTAACCAAAAATGTTTGACGTATGGCGTTGGCTTGGTCGATTCTAAAGGCCGGGGTTTTTTTTTAGATAGGACCGACCGTCGGAGCGTGCGTACGTCGGCTGCGTCAGAAAATGACAAGCATATTATGAAAATTCACAAGTCGTGACAGTGCTCGACCGATCATACGCACGTACATAGCTTTCTAGTCTAGTACATAGTCAGTAATCTATGATAGCTTTACTGCATATTAGATTAGTAGATTACTGAATATATTAATTACTACAGAACCACAGATAGAGATGCGCAACTCAAATTTTATTTACGTTAAGTTCCGTTTTTGTCCATTAGATGGCGTTAAATTAAGAGTGCTTTGGGCCTGCCCTTTATTTGCACTTTACAATTTTTATTTTTACAACTATTAATACATTGCACAAGTGCTGCAATGTAATTGAAAAAAATTTTATATTTCTTTTGCTAATTGCTAGTTCCTAATACAAAAAATAAAAACCAGATATTTTTAAAATGTTTATTGATTAAAAATTCGTTGCTTAAATTATTGATTAACATTAGATGTTGCGTTAAATTTAACAATATTTGCACAATATCAATTGATTTCTTTAAATACATTCTTATTAACTGGTTAGATAAAAGTTAGTAAATATCTTATGTTACAGAGAATAGAATACAGTAGAATAATAATTATTAAATATAGATTATTACACAATACTTATTGAAAGTCATGTTTTATTTACTACAGATACCTCTGTCCTGGGAAGAACCAGCAAGAAACCCAGCGGGACTTTTTTTAAACATATTTCACTTTACAATAATTTTGTTTGTTTACTCTTTAAATAAATTTTAATAGTACAAGCATGGTGGCGATCACCTCAATCCCAGGGGTTATTTTTATTGATGTATTTTTTGATATTATAATAACACTTTTCGTACCTTTTTTGAAATTTTGTTTTAAAAGCGTATATGTTGCCCCATAAAAGCATTACTGACTCAGTAGAGTCTCGTAACTGGTGTTACAAGCTTATGTTTGTTCCTAGTGTTTAAAGTATAAACATCTTTATTCTTATGAACCCTATTTACGTTTTTATGTACATACATTACACTTTCATAAATATATTGCTATGCCAAAGTCAATATTATTTCTTAAAAATTTTCTCTAAGGGACTCTTTACAATTTAAAATCTCTCTTTTATAAAACAAATATGGCTTCAACGTCAGTCGCATGACTCTAGTAGTAATACCAAGAAAAACAGTGGTATCCACAAGACTAAACTACTTCCCATTTAAGAACACATTTATAATTGAATCCTCTTCAAAGGTTTGCTCCTCTTCCATAATTTCAAGAATTAGTATCAATTAATTGTTAATAGTGGTGCATTTTTAACTTAATATAAAAAGGTACATTGTGGAACAGCATTATTAATTTTTAAAATATGTACTTGATAACGTTATCATATTTTGGTAACATAAGCATTTTTTAAATGTGTGTAATAACTATACTTTTTTAAAATACAAGTAATTTACAAAAGTGACTTTCTTATGCCCACTATACCATTGTTTTCATGTGTAAATCAATATAATTTTTTTAACAAAATGAGCATTTAGATATGTATTATAACATACTTACTCATACATAATAAATACAACCTCACAAACCATTTGCGAAATTATAATAAATCTAATAAATTTGGAAGATACCACATAATCACATAAAGCAACAAAAATAATACCAAGAAACAAAATATTTGAATAAAAATGATATCTTTAACTATGCACACCCACATATTCCTGAATATCCAATTAGTGCAGTATAGTTCGTGGAAGATGGTACAATTTCGAAAACAAATTGTTTGGAAATATCACTAAAAAGAAAAAAGCTAAAGATAGATTCGAAAGATATATTCGTAAGGAAATTGTTCGCTTTTTCCTCAAGATGGACATTAAAAATGTCCCTAAATAAATACTAATTAAACCAGGTATAATCTCAATTATATTTAAGCAAATGAAAGAACAACGCTTGAGCATGGCAGAGTGCTTGTGCTTCTTAATGCTTGATGAGATGCTAGTGTTCTCCTCACTAAATTACAATGCAAATGTCATAGGTTTTGAAGACTGAGGATGTTAAGAGTGAAATTATGACCAGGAACATGTTTTAGTTTGATGATAAAGGAGATAAAGTTCATATTAAGCTATCAACATCTTAAAGATTTTGCAAAAATGCTGCTCTGGCTGTAATTAAAAAATATATATGTAATAAAAGATTTATAACAAACATGATTAAATGATGTCTATGATCAATTTACAATTTACACCCAAGTAAGCAAAAATTAAGTTAACAAGACAGAGACAACAAGAATGCTTTTGAAATTTAAAATAAAAAATAATTCTCCTTATTTGATTACTATGACTTATCGAAATTATTATATATATGAAGGGGTCAGGAGAAAACAACTTTTGTCACCTAATGAACAAACTGAGCTATTACTAATTAAAAGTTAAGATCATAAAAAAATGGGTTATTTAAGGACAAATAAATGACAAATTTTATTTTGTTGAAAATATATTTATTGTAAAATGTATATTTTTTTATTTTTACTTTGCATTACTTTAGAATTATAATAAAAAATTATGACATAGTCAGAATAATCAGGAAAACATCATCCTATGTCCATCAAAATCGGGAAAAACAACCAATGTCACTAAGACACATAGGTACTTACTTTAATTAAAACTAATGTATTGGATTAGTATTTTAGGTAGTGGAATAGTATTTAAGTTCTGAATAATATTTTTTTGCTACAGGTCTGCAATATTTTGATAATGACTGTACATCTAGGAATTTTGCTTTACTGATTGGTAGAATGTTCTTGTAAGCTTGGTCAGGCAGAATAAATTCTGTTGAATGAGAAGCATCTGCACAGGGAGTTTAGTTTGCCCTTTTTCTCTTTGCATCCAGCGTAACAGATGAAGTCCACTGCCCATTATATGAATCTCTGTAGAAAATGAGACGGGGATGTGAAATATCAACTCTGATCTCAAGGATAGGTCTAGAAAGAAATGGGCATGTCTTTTTATATTTTGGTGACAAAAACTTGGCCCAAGATCTGACTAAAGTCTGATCAACATCTATAACTCGAAATGGTGAAGGTTTTTGCCTTGACTCAGATACTACTTTTCTCCAATCTTTTGGTGTTTCACATGGAGCCTTCTAGTTTATAAGTGCCATGTCTTTGTCACATTCTAGGTAAGAATGTCCTCTAATCGGAAATACCATTTTAATCATACCTAAACGCTTGGCTGTATGAACTACGTAGTGTATAAATCTAAACATACAATAGTTCTTATTCTGCCCACCACATGAATCACAGAATATTATTAACTCTCTGATATTCGTATTGAGTTCTGTAAAGATATAATGATGTAGGACACTTCATCTGCTCCTTTTTTAGCAATGGTCTCATCGTAGCAAAAAAATAGGAATCTGAGGAAGCCAAGACATGAATGTTAAATAAATTGACGGTAAGCTGTCTCTTATAGTAGGTCTCATTAGAAGTTATGTTAGGCATGCTCAAATTCTTTTGATAATCCATGGCGATAGCTTCTCTTATAGAAGATGATTGACAATAAATTCTAGTTGCTCTTTTTCTGCGATAGAATACCTCGGCTTTTAACTTGTGTACTTTATTTTCAGTTTCTAAATCTCTAATCTTTTTTTCAATAACACACTTTTCTTCACTATTAAATGCATTCTTTAAGTCAACTTCTAAGCCTTTCAGTTTAGCCTTAAACTCGTCACAATTTCCACAAGTATCTGACCTCGGGTAACCAAAACCAATATTAAACTTATTTACAAAAAGAGTTCTGTATGATTCATAAGACAATGAATCTTTGTATTGAAACATATTGTACATTCTTTTTACGTTTAAATCTTCTGAAAGATATAGTTTCGAGGATTCGTATAGACTATAATGACTTTTACGGCCACGAAATAACCTAACATGCTCCATTGCTTTCTTTTTTATATCTGCTGTGAGTTTCCTTGGCCGGTTACTGTGCTTGCATCGCCTGTCTAATGGGGCATGTCCAGTCTCTTGCAAAGACTTCTTCAGGGTTTTTAACCTTTGTTGGGTAATGCCATGTATAGCCATGAGTGCCTTAAAACAAATTGGAACATCTATCACAGAGAGACCACATAAATACAAATTTTGTGCATCACGAGTTGGCAGGAGATTAAAATCTCTTAAAATATTGTTTCTTTGTTCTAGGTTTACAACTTGAAAACACTTGTACCTCTTACAGTAACAATTTTCACCCTCTTCATGACTTCGAAGGTTTAGCTTCTTGTTAACTTCTGAAATTCGACCACAAGTCTTCCTCTTTTTACTGGACCTTTCACACCTTAAAACATTACACTCTTCGTCTAACATTTTTCGTAAAAAAAACTCACAAATCAAATAATTCGACAGGAATGCTTTAAAACAATAACGATTGGAAAGAAAAATAACCTAAAAGTGTCACTGTCATGTGTGAATGTCATAGTCAACCATGGACAACGGATGTTTTTTCCCTGAAGTCTATGGACATAGTTTGTTTTTACCCTGTACCTATAATTTAAAAGCAAGATTTATCAGTGACTATGAATGTTATTGTCCGGGTTGTTTTTGGCAAAACATAGAGACGGGTGTATTCATTAACACTGCATTGCCAGCTGAAAAAAAATGTAACAAAAGCTGTTTTTTCCCTGACCCCTTATATATATATATATATATATATATATATATATATATATATATATATATATATATATATATATATATATATATATACTGGAAGAGATGTCATCCGTTTACGGAGACTCTTGTCCAAGTTAAACTGTACAGTGAAAATAAGGTAATTAAAAAATAAATAAAACCATAAGCCCTGCTTTATAGTTAGTTCAGTTAGTATGCAATATTTCATGATCTTATTTAAAGTATTTTATGAATAACAGCGGTTTATAAGTGTCACTGTCATGTGTGAATGTCATAGTCAACCATGGACAACGGATGTTTTTTCCCTGAAGTCTATGGACATAGTTTGTTTTTACCCTGTACCTATAATTTAAAAGCAAGATTATTGCACTGAACACTGCATTGCCAGCTGAAAAAAAAAACAAAAAATGTGACAAAAGCTGTTTTTTCCCTGACCCCTTATATATATATATATATATATATATATATATATATATATATATATATATATATATATATATATATATATATATATTATTTATTTATTTATATATACTGGAAGAGATGTCATCCGTTTACGGAGACTCTTGTCCAAGTTAAACTGTACAGTGAAAATAACGGTAATTAAAAAATAAATAAAACCATAAGCCCTGCTTTATAGTTTGTTCAGTTAGTACGAGTATGCAATATTTCATGATCTTATTTAAAGTATTTTATGAATAACAGCGGTTTATTGTTCAGTTTGGAGGTAAGTTTGGATTTTTTTCTATCGAGAAAATTTAACGGAATCATGTTTTCGTTTAACATAGTCCTTAACATTAATCCTCAACTTTACCATATATTTATTTCAAAATTAATGCTGCAATACTTTCGGCATAACGGAGGATCTTGCTAAGCCATTTGAGGTTATATTCCCCCTTAACCTTTTGAGCGCCACGCCAAAAACTCACTACCGTGTCCTGTACGCCAAAGCGAAAAGTAAACAAAAATACCTACGAAAAAAACAGTGCTGCCAACAGTTGATATATCGATAACACAAAATAACTTGTTTTTGTTGGTTTTTTATACAATAAATAAGTCTTTATAATCGGGTATGTTTTATTTAATCTTGTGCTGTCTTCCACTCTTTTTATATATGTACTTTGTACATAAGTAAAAAACAAACAATAACAATAAAATAATAGTAAACCACAACACTACTCTCCGTCGTGATGACGTCACTGTCACGATTGGACGACAACGGCGTAGCTGACCTTTCTTTTTGAAACTTTCTTAGAGATGTAGCCGTGTCGCACGTTGTGTATCGATTTCAAAATCGATGTAACCAAAATATACAGACATCTATTCAAAATATTTTATGGCAAGGCGTAGGCCAAGTGAATCACAGAAGAAAAGTCTTACGCTCTTATGATAAAGGGGGTTTCATATGATACTGATGTTGCTAAATGATTTTGAGATTGAGAAAGAAAATCGCACAACACAAAATGAAAATTGCTCTTCATACCTTAAGTAAAGAAAACACATTTATTATTTGTAATTTTATATTATTAAAATAGAAAAGGTACATAATTATTCACTAATCAACAACTGTATATAGGTAATTATTCGCACTAGAAAAATCAGTCTTATAATATTAAAATCTTGGTCATGGAATAAAAAAATCAGTACTTATTACAGAAATCAACAAAGGGTACATAATTATTCAACAATTGTAAATAACTATTTGCACTAGGTCTAGTCATAAAATATTAAAATCTTGGTCTTTAACTCAATCAGTACTTAATATAGAAAACAACAATTAAAAATAATTAATAAATTATAGGTAATATTAGTCTTAAAATAATAAAAATCTTATGGAATAATAAAACATAAATGTTTAGCTGGCCAAAGCAAATTTTCTAACGTGGTAGAGCCATGCTGCAGTTATATTACGGGAGTTAGTAGTTGTAGCACGAATGGGTCGGCTCAACCGGGGAAGAACCACGCTCTCACGGAATATCGGCATCAAATAGTAGCTTAATGCTGCTGTGTTTCGTATGGTAAGTGTAGAGAACCGGAGACCCTCTTTACTGGAAACGAGGCATTCCATCTAAGTCCTCACGGGTGAGAGCGCATCTGCATTTTGATTCGTAATCGAGGATAGATGTAAATGTCTATGGGCCACAGCAACCACTTACCATCAGGTGGACTGTGTGCTCGTTTATTACCCTATGCTATAAAAAAGAAATTAACCGTAAAAAGACTATAAAGTGTATTCCTACCTCATTGAGGTAGAGTTAATCGAAAACGAAAAACTTTGGTTTCACGATAATTTTAAATTTCCGAAAATTCATTATCGTCGACGCTTTCCAAAATCCGAATGAGTTCTGAGGAATCGTTCATGTTGCACTGCACTAATTTTCCCGCTAATCGCTTATGACGTCATCAGTGTGTCGTCTATACTTGACCACGGCGCCCAGTGAACTGATTTTCGATGTCGCGCTAAGGATGCGCCAGAGTTGAGATATTAGATTTATTATGCGAAGATAATTTGTTAATTTTTTTTTAATTCATGTAGCTAATTATAGTTTTATATTTCTAACCTTTTGTTTTATTTAAATATCAATAATAATAGAAAAAAATAACACGTTTGAGCTTAATTTTGAATAGCTTTCAATAAATTTATGGCTAACGCATTACAACACTAGCGGTCTAACATAGACGACTTTGGCGTGCTGGACATAGTATTTGCTTAGATAAAAATCCATTTTTTTTAGTTCAATGTTTCTTAGTACTTGTGGCTCTAGAAGACTTGTTTTTTATACTCACATGTTGCTGGGTTATTCTTTTTTTGAGGGGTGTAGAATTAAAATACCAGTAATAATTTTCCAATGTCTATATTTCATATTTTTGTGGGCCGGGTTTTTTGTCATCTATAGACGTCGTTGGCGCTCAGGGCACGCGGGTGCTGGTCACGTATAGACGACTTTGGCGCTCAAAAGGTTAAGCATCTTAGTCAGTTTAGAAAGTTAAAAGTACATCATAATGTGATATATATCTATGAGTCAGATAGTATTTTTCAGTTTGAATTTTTACTTTGTCATTTTCATCAATTTTAACATGTTTATCCTGCAATATTTTCTTGACATTCATGCACCTGCTATGAATAATTCAGCTGATTATATAATTAATTATAAAGGTTTTTAAGTTTTCTTCGTGCTTTTTACATGACAAAATTCGAATTCCACACCAAGATCTATATAATTCCATCACATAATTCTACCAATGTAGGTACCATGTACCATTTTGTAAAGCATTTTTTATTATCTTAATTACTTTTTCAACACACTCTAAAAAGTTTTGGGAGGGTCTCATAAGTGATCTTCGCGTGACATCTACATACAAAATGTAGTCATCTACTTGTGGCGGAGTTGTATCACACAATTCATTGTTACATGTAATATTTGATTTGTAAAATTTAATTTTTACCTTTTTATAACTTGCTCTGCCACATACCTCTGTGACAATTTTATTTGCATCCTATTGCGAATCGTTACCTGCCTGGTTTTGAACTATAAACTCTATGTTAATTCTATTTTTCTTTGGGAGCGGAGGTAATTCATTTTTCGTCAGCAGGCAATCTAAATTATTTAAAACTTTATTAAAGTCTTCTTCACAATTTGCCCCCAAGGAATGTGTTGAACTCAAATTATTAACAAGTCATGTTTTATAAATACTTTGAAATTGTAGACATGTGGGATTGATCTTACCGAGGAGAAAAAAAATTCCAAGGGATCTTGATTAAAATTACGCATCAAAATACTCTTTATGTTGTATTTGTCAAATAAATATTGCAACAAACCTTTTATAGTGTCAATGCTATGTATCCAATTTTTTATTGATGAAACTTGTTCATAACTTATAGGTGATGTAGCTCTACCTCTTTTTTTATCTCCGATTTGAATCTCATTGACCTTAAAACTGGTAGAACTTTATTCCATAGTGCAAAGTGATCTGAATTTGGTTTTACACAATCTTTCTAGATCTTATATGTTTTCTTATAAGAACCTCCATTAAAAGAATCAAACAATTGATCAAACAGGAGAAGTATATCAACCGTATCTTCACATTCTTGTGGCAGCAACTTATTTTCTGCAAAAAGAAATGAAATGTTATGAGCACTTTTTAAATAATAAGAAGCAATAAAAAGTTTGACACAAGAGAGAATACAAGTAAATAAGCGATAAAGAGAAATCTTACAAAAAAATAATTTCAACATTGAATATTAATTAAAAAATTATTTATATGTACGTCCACAAAATCGTATAGCTCCTGATATTCGTTGACTAAAAACTTGAGCTGCATGTTTCACCTTCATTTTGGGAATTTTTTCAGGTATAGCATGCATTTCTGTAAGCTTATTACACATTCTTAACCTATTATATAGTGATATCTGTGTTCTTAACTCATCTTCTCCTGCATCAATTTCCAACAGTAATTTTAAATGTTGCCATTTTGCTATTTTTACTTGGTCGTTCTGGATATACCTTAGGTCTTTTGATATTAAATTATGCCTCACTCCTTTTAATTTTTCTTATTTTCAAATTAAATATTATAATTCAAAATATATTACAAAAATTATAATAGTGAACTTAACTAAAATAATAATTAAAATTATAATATTTACGATTAAAACTAATTATATGTATACAATATAA